CGATCTCCGAGGTGCTCTGGGAAACCACCCAAACTTACCCTGAGGAAGTAAGGGGGAAAAAAAAGTAGGATTATTTTGTGGATGTGTTCCCTTGTTCCTGGTTGTTCTTGGTGGTTTACTCTCCAAGCCATCTTCTTTCTTCTGTTGAATTTGTGTGAAGTAGCTTCTCTCATGGTTTTATATTGCCTTTTGAGACACTTGAAAGAATGCTCCTTTTTTAAATTGAGGGGACTGGCAAAGCCTTGCTTGGCGGGGGTGAAGAAGTGCCTGGTTCGGCTTTGTCAGAAAGCAGAGATTTCCATGAAGCTGAACTTAGAAGTGCTCCTAACATACCAAACTGGTTTGTAATGGAGGTAGGGGAACAGCAGAAATAGACAGACCCTCTGTGTCTGCCAAGCTTCAGATGTTCCCTACCTTTGCGTTACCACAAACATGTTAGAATATTCTGCGTTACTTCTGTCACATCGAAGTTCAGCTTGTCTTTTCACTCTTAAATGTTAAGGGGGCTCTTGTAGCTTCTTGCTTACAGCCGCACAGCAGGCCTTTGTTCGTCCTGTGCACTGTGTGAATGCTTTTTAACCTTGTCACCTCGTTAGGAAGGATTGTACAGAGCCTTGTCGATGCCATTATTTGCACCTGTGGCAACAAGCATTTCCAGCACTTTTCTTGACTTCTTCAACTGAACAAACTCCGAAATGATTGTTGTTAGCCTGTCTGCCAACTGAGCACGTAATCAACAAGCTGGAGGTGCTTTTGTGCAAGCAGGATAGCAGCTGGTTTTGCTTACGCTTTTACCTTGGCAGGACATTTTCCATACCCACTGCCAAAAATATACAGCATCTGGCTTTTTTCAACCTGCCCAACTTGAGTTTCTGGCTTGACAGACAGTTTCTTGCTGCACTGATTTGTAGAGGCTATGCTTGGAAAGCACTGAAGTCTAGTAGCTTGCATACGTGCATCCTGAGGCTATACCAACTAGTCTCTGTAGCTGTATTATTTACAATAATAGTGGTTGTCCTGTACAGATATTTATTAAATAAGATCACAGAAAACGGTTACTATCAAACAGTTTTTAGCAAAAAGTTATAAATACATATGTAACTGAGTGGAGCTAATGGGTTCCATTTAATAAAAGCTGACACTTTTAATTGCTACTTTCCACAAGGAAAGTACCTCTACAGAGATCTTTCCTGGGGGAGACACATAACAAAGAGCTTGCCTGAATACAACAGACTGTTAACTATAAACATGTTTTAGTTCGCTATGAAATTTGAGCTTGCCGTTTCACAAAAGCGAAAGCCTACAGCTTTTCCCCCGTTAGACTGGAATCTGCTTTTCCCCTTCTTTTTATTCCATGGCTTGTTGTTTGTTTTATTTTTTGTTTAGAAAGAGATACAGCCTCTTTCCTTAGTGAAGAGGATTGCCTATGTATGCCTATTAATTTCTAAACTTTCTTTAAGTTCCTATGGGTAAGTATCTCAATTTGTCTGGAGGCTGCAGTACGTCCTCTGTGGCGGTGAATACACCACAGTCATGCAAAGGGCAACTCCCCCTCCTCGTCTTCCCGGCCTGTCCTTCCTAAAGAGTCTGTATCCCTCCACTGCGGCACTCCAGTCATACGAGCCGTCTACTGCATCTCTGGGATCCCAACAAGATTCCAGCCCTGCAGCTGCACACAGATCTCTAATTCCTCGTGTTTACTTCCCACGCTGCATGCCTTAGTGTGCAGGCACTTTGAGGGGACTTTCTCACTTACGTGCAAATGCTTGAGGTGGCCCTAGCTGAGCCCTGTTTTGTTCATTTTGTGTTCCTCATTTTTCACATCACCCCAGGCCCTTTACTTGTCAGCCCTGTCCATCGCTCCCTTAGGGGGCTGCAGTGACTCCCTCCCTCATCGTTCCTGGTTTTGTTCTTCAGGTGCAATTCCAAAGATAATTCGTATCTGGGTGTAAATACTTGAAAGCAGCCTCTTGCTCAGGGACCACTTTGAAGGTTTGGTTTGGTTTGGTTTTAAACAGTCCTTTGTAGTTCTCTCATTATTGTAATGAGGGACTGCTTGGTTAACCCACTTCTCTTCTTGGCCTGACGGAATTCAGAACATTATGGAAAGGTCTTTCCAGTTATAGGAGTTACCTTGGGATTGAGTTGGATGCTTGTCATTTCCCAGGTCTGAAGGTGGGAAACAAAAACCAGTGAAACAAATGTTCCCAGATGTAAACCATGGTTATATTTATAACTTACGGTGATACCTTGCTTCATGTATGTCTGGTCTAGACTTATTTTAAAGCAAAAATATTGTGGGAGCTGGCAAACAGGAAACACTGCAGATCTCTCTTCTCACTCTGTGTGAGCTTTGCATGTATTATTACGTGCCATGAACATACAGCTATATGTATTCATACTATTCTTGTACTTACAGACAACGCTCACATGGGGACCCTACTTGTGGTTTCACATGCTGCGAGTTGCCACATCAACCTTATCAGGTATTGCTTTATTTAATTCTTGGGTAAGCCAATAATGGAATATTGAAAGTCGCTTTGACAGACTGTAAATCACCTTTGTGAGCTACTGGCCATTTTCTCAAAAGTATGAATGAACCTGTATTTTAATCTGTGGAGACGTACTCTCTTGCCTTAGGCACCTTTTTTTTTTTTTTACTTTCAATCAACAACTCTTGAATGGAAGAATGAACAGAAAATACCTGTTGCTGAACACTTTTTTCCCCCTTTTTCTACATATGGAGATAGGGTGGTGTTGGCAAGGGAGTAGTGTATCAGCTTTCTATTAGGTTTTGCATGGAACCATTTGGTGTGATGTTATCTGAAAAAAAATGCAGTTTGGAGTAACTAAACTGACAGTTTTTATGAAGAAGACAACTAGAAATTATCCCAAGAACACATCTAGTCTTGTGCTTTACAACAGATTTCTGAGGTTACAAAATAAAGAAAAATAAGACTATTGTGAAGAGTCTTAAACTCACTGCATAGAAGTTTATTATTTGACCTGTGGACCTCATAAAATTTTGCAAAGTTTTAAAAATGCTTGTCCTAGTCCGTGTTCTTCCCAAGAGGTAAAGTATCTTTTTTGGGTTTTTTTGACAAATATTGTGGAGTTTCCGCCACTGTACATCTAATTTTGAATATTTTTAAAAACTATTGGCAGTCTATTAATTAACTTTATTTTTAGAAACGCTTTTTCTCTAATGTACAGTGTAATTCTATTCCTTGTCACTTCTGTTCTTCATACACAAAGGTAGCTACTCCTTTCCTTTTTTCAGAAGTCTTTTATGAATTTGAAGATCAGTACTTCCTTCTTCCCACTGCAGTTTTGCCTCTTACATTTGGAATTTGAACTGATCTTTTGCTCAGAGCTCTGGGTGCCACGATATCTATAAAATTAGTTACTGTGAATATTCATTGAAGCAGTCAACTGCTAACTTCTAACTTGTTTTCCCTGAAGATGACTAACTCATTGGCATCCTCGGGGCAGATTTGCAATTTGAAGTGCAATATATTTGACTTCTTGCTTACCTGTGCTCACGAACCAGTAGCCATCATCACGGTAAAGAGACTGACTGACACAAGCCCACCTGTTTGTACTTCAGACTGTGCGCTACCTGTTCTAGCAAAGTAGCGCTGCACGTAGCCTCCAGCTTGAAAATCGAGACAGCTGAAACCTAAATATTTTATTAATCCATTAGTATGCAACACGGAACATTGTTAAAAACTGCTACTGACTTGAAGTATGCATATATCAGTAAATAACTCTCTAGTTTGCTAGTACCATTAGACTGAAGCGCCAGTACAGTTGGTAGCCATGTATTTTTGTCTAACCTTAATTTTCAGTTAAAGGCTTATTCTTTAACTGATCCCCTAGCAAAACAATCCTAGACCCAAAGCTGAAACTAGTAGAATTCAAACAAACGCTACTACCGTCTAGATTTTCATTGATTTCCATGTTCTTCTCCTTTTGTTCATTCTTTATCTTAAAGAACAATTATTAGTATATTGAGCTAATAATTACATATAAGTAGATTAGCCTAGCAGATTTTGGTTTTGTCTTTTGAGTGAAGTAGGACTGTGGAAAACCATTCAGGAGAGATGACGATACCTTTTAAAATAAAACTGTGCTTCAGAATTTTCTTGTAGATACTACTCATATGTAAACTTCTCTTTATTTTTTAGTGTGTGATTTCCTTGGGGAAAAGATTGCATCTGTTCTGGGGATAAGCACACCGAAATACCAATATGCCATTGATGAGTATTACAGAATGAAGAGAGAGGTATGTGTGTGAGATGGGGTTCTTGCACTCTTTTTCTCCCAACTTGCCTTCCCTGGTATTTTAAAAAAAGAAATTTGTATTCCGGCATTGAAGTGAAGTTTTAGAACCTCTTGTTTCAGCTTGCCTTCAGTTTTCATTTGACACATGATTAATGCATGGTTATCCATCAGCCTTTTCTCACCAGCTCATCAGCCTTAGAACTGGCTGGGTCCTGACCACTGACTGCTCTATTTGCTTCTCTTGTACAATGCATTTTAACGTCAACAGTGTGAGAAAGTTGGATGGAGCAGTTACCGGACACTGTAAAGAGGCGGCTGCTAGGAGTATACTTTCCAACCCTAGAACTTGTTCAACGAAGTGTCAAGGGTAAATTGAACACGATGTTTCCATTTGTTCTAAACCATACTGGAAATGACTGATAGGTAGCCAGTCCTTTATACAAAAAAAAAACCCTTAATAATCTTCATTTGGAAGAGATGGAAAACATATTTAACACTTTACTGCTCATTTTTTATTTTTGATAGCTCTTTATTATGAAGAGCTGCAAAAGCTTTAGAGAAGATAGACCTATTACTGTTGCTATGGACTAAAAACTCCTTATCTAGACATGTGACATTTTTTCTGTGTTTATTTAACGCAGTTTAATCCTTCACTTTCGGTGATTATTTTTTTTTCCATAATAATGGTAATTCTGGAATATACCTCATCTTATGATCAAGCAGGGACTGTTTTCTAGTGGAACAAATGTCCTTGCCTTATAATAGGAACTGGTATGCTCTTATGGAAAGACTTAAAGCAAATGTAAGTGGTAAATAGTAGCTTACGAATCTGGTTATCTGTTTTCAGGAGGAAGAAGAGGAACAGGAAAACAAGATGTCAGAAGAAGCAGAAAGACAGCATCAGGAACAGCAGAACAAGCCACAAGCTGAAGCTCCTGTCCAGACAGACCAACCTGAAGCAACAGCATGCACGTCATTCGTGAATGTAAACTTTGAAAATGAGGGAGATTGCCAGTCCCTTGGGGAAAATAAACAAGATGTAGTTCCTGTCCCTCCTTAAGGTTAAAGCTCTGTGTAATGTAGGAAATAGGAAGTGTCAGGTGTCACAGTCTGGCTATAAGAAGCAGGAAAAATAGGATTATACTTGTTCAGTGAAATACAACTTCTAGCATTCTTATTGATCAGGAGAGAGCTAGGCGATGTCTGTTCAGTCTGCCCGCCTCATAAAGGCATTCTGCCAAATTGGCACTTCGGTTAAAATGAAAATTGCACTACCAACATTTGGTCTAAAATTGAATGTGTGAGCTAATTTCTGTGTAAAGCAAGTAAAAATGTCTTTTCTTTGAATTGCTGTGTCTCTTAACACCTGTGGATTGCAGATGCAGTGCTGTTTCCTACTTCTAAACACCTAGTCCTGATTTGCTCACTGTTTGCAACTCAGCTCTCTATGAATAGATTAATAGGAATCAATATCCTGTAACTCACAAGTGATTATAATAGCGTCTAATTTCCCCTATTTATTGTCACTGTTGTATGCATGTATTTTTTTTCTGTTGTTTAACACAAGAGATAATGTTAGACTTAATGTTAATTAGATTTAAGGGTCCACTGACTTTTTTTTTTATTAAAAAAAAACCACCTTTAAAGGAGGCTCTAAACACCCTTAAGAACTTATTAACAAGTACCAGCACTCTTGGAGGCTAATAGTGCTCAAACCATTTGCTTAATGTTAAATTATCAGTAAGGGATGTGCCTTGCAGATGTTTCCCCCCACTCTAGCACAGAATACATAAATAACTAGAAAACACAAAACCAAACTTACTTATGATTCTTCCTTTTTCTTAAATAAACAAAACACTTTGTTGCAATACTGCAACAACTGTAATTTGTATTTTTGTCTAAGTGAAACACTTCTAAGTAGCCCCAAATACCAATTACTGCAATGACTGTCATTCCACTCATAGCTTGTAAAAGGTGAATGGTTTACTTGGCGACAATCAATCAGATGTCAGTGCCCCCGTCACTTCCCATAGAGAATCGTAGATAAAGGAGCAGAGCACCTGCACTAGTTACCATGCGAAACATTACTTCTGTCCTTGAGAGTTCTAAAAAAAAATTAAAAATAGTCTTTAGTGAAGTTTTGCATTGGATATCATCACATGCCCCTGGCCTTGGTCCCGTTACCAACCAAGGAGCCTGATGTAACATCAGAGGCCAGGTAACTTGGCTCTTGTTTCCCAGGGTTCAGTTACGCATTTCAGACAACCCTCTGCCTGAACTAGTGTCCTGTAGAGCACAAATTCCTTCTCCTCTGTCTGCCCTTAGCATTCCAGCGCTACAGAAAAATCTTGTGAGGAATATTCAGTCATCAGCTCTATTCCATCTGTTTCGGTACTCTGTTCTTTGCCTCTTTTTGAATTGTAAGAAAGACAGAGAGCGCTGACAGCTGTGTGAAATCAGTCCTGAATACCTGCAAGGGCCAGCTTAGTTCAACACCTGGGGAATATACAGAAAACCAGCTTGTTGCAAGTTCTTATACTGTCAAAGATAGAAAGCCTCACGTAGCTCAAGAGTGAAACCTTTACAGCTGAAGGATGCTTTGCTTTTCTGTCAAGAAATTAATGTCAGTTGCGTTGGGTTCCCCCCCCCCCAACTATCTGTTGCATTGGAAATGCTCTCACTGCCTTGGGTTTAAACTTCTTTGTATAAAATACTGTATTACTCACTGTGCCTTAACTTAATCCTTCCTTCAGTTTTTTGCAAACTGTATGAAAGTGGTTACTTTCATAATGGTTTAATTTTTCTGTAAATGCATTAATTGGTTATTTTATATTTAATATAATTTTTGAACTGGAAGTTGGCTATGGCTTTTCCTTTAAAACTGTGTGGTCTTTGAAACTTTATGCTTGCACACAGGAGCATGTGCCTGTTCACTGTTTTCATCTTTACTGAGTCACACATCCTGGGGGAATATTCAAGCACTGAAATTCAAAATATCATACTGCCCCCACCCCTTCCTTACAATCTCATGTAGTACGTTAACGTACTTGTGTTCAGCACTACCTCAAACTAATAAATAATGCAGGATTGCAACCACCTCTGGCCTGGAGCTTACTGTAATTTTATCTGAAGGCTGAAACACTTCTACAGCTTTGTTAAAGAGTAAGAGAGTTTCACTGCTTTAACTACTGCTGTAGCTCAGCTGTACAGCTAAGTTAAATTACATAAAGTACTTCCACAGGAGGTTAAGTTGATTAAAGCCTTTATACAGGTGTTTGGATTAGTTTTAACTAGACCTAAAGCTAGTGCAGTTCTATTTCTGTGAATGAACCTCTTAAGAATCAGGTAACTATTCAGTCAGTTCAGTAGTTATTTACTTATTCTTTGTTAGAAACTGAAAAGCTGGACACGTATAGAAGAAAAAGGCCTAAACTCTTTACCTCTCACTGAAGACTTTTGCCTTTACAACAAATGCTCAACCGTGCTATCATTAGAGGAAGCCATACGGAATGCAGTGGCAGGCTTGGGATGGCTGAGTGCATACAGGCCAGTGCTGAAGATTACCCTGAAAGTAAGGATGTGGTTCGGGGTAATTCACATTTAGAACAGGGTACTCAAAGAAGAATAGGGCTTGGTACACAGGGAAAAAGTCCAAAAATATTTATTAAAAAAAGAAGATGATGATTTTTACCTCTTAAATAACACTTGCTTTTTTCGTTTCAGAAATTAGTTCTGCGATTTGTGTCTGTACCACATTTTATATTATATGGGAGGGCACGGGGGGAAGGGGAGGGAAGTAAAATGGAAGAGGCATTGATTCAGATAATGAATGTTTCCAGCGTCCAACAGTTGAGATATCTCTATGGATACAGTCTGCTCCTGTTCAAAGTCACGTATCATCAACATCAGCAGTGTTGTCATTATCACTTGCCACAAGGACCTCTCTGTTCTCGTATGTCCAGAACCCATTCAGATCAATTAGAATGCTGGTAACAGTGTCTCCTTGACTGCTATTGATTAAGTCTTGAAGGGAGATTTTGTAAGGATCCTTAGGCTTCACCATATCAAAGATTTCATCCTATGAAAGAAAAAAGTCAAAATTGAGGGAAAAACCCCCACACATTAATGAGCAGAATAATGGCTACTTTATACCATATACAGAATGATCTTTGGGTAACTAGTGCCACCCACACTGATTTACAAAAAAAAAAAAAAAAAAAAAACCAAAAAAAAAAAGGCTAA